GATTTAAAAACAAAGAGAAAAAAGTAAACAATTTTGATTTGTTTACAAAAATTAATTAGTATTGTTTCCTGAATTTTTTTACAAATTTAAAAAAATCTAAAACATTTTTCTGAATTCTTTTTAAAAAATGTTGTATGCAAAAACACAAGTTAGCAAAACAAGAGTGTTTTGAAGTCAAAAACGTACTAAAGCGCACAATTTGATCAATTTCGACCAAAAATGGTTGATTTTTTGACCAATTTATGTGAATAAACTAAACAAAATTTATGCAGATTGTCCGAATTCTCGTATTTTGTCCAAGTGTAATAAACATTTTTGATTTTTTTTCAAAAATTAATCAGTATTGTTTCCTGGATTTTTTTACGAATTTTAAAAAATCTAAAGTATTTTTCTAAAATTTTTTTCAAAAATTAAGCAGTTCGTTGTTTCTTAAATGTTTTTATAAATTTTCAAAAAAGTAATCAAAAAACAAATTTTGTTTAATTTTTTTATTTTTAGCAAATAAATAATGCAAATTGTAAACATGTCGAAAAAATAGTTTTTTTTTTATTTTGATGAAGATTAGGCATTGTTCAGAAACAATATGATTTTTGAAGGATTTATGTCTTTTTCGGTTGTTAACTTTTTTGCATGATTTTGGGTAATTTTTAGCGGTTTTATCATGTACCCAATTTTTGATGGTCTACAGATATTTGGTACTTTTGGAGTGCATAAAAATCGGTGCTTTTTTACGGATTTCAGATCTTTTTCGAAGAACAGCTAAATTTTTAGGGTTCTGCCTTGTTTTTTGAAGACGCCAAAGGTCCTGGTCCAGAAATAAAAAGCCATTTTGTAAGTTTTTTACATCTTTTTCGGATGTTTACTTTTAGGAAAACACTAAATTTGTAGGATTCTACCCTGTTTTTTAAGACGCCAGATATCCTGGTCCAGAAGTAACATTTTACATCCTACTGAACTGCTTAATTTTTGGAAAAAAATTCAAATAAATGTTTTAGATTTTTTTTAATTTGTAAAAAAATTCAAGAAACAATACTGATTAATTTTTGAAAAAAAATCAAAAATATTTTTTTTAACTTTTTTAATTGTAAAGAAAGCTAAAAAAAAATGTTTTTCTCATCTTGACAAAGATTAAGCGATGTTCAGAAACAATATGTACAATTGTTCCTTTAACTCTTTTGCCAAACTTTGATCAATATTTTCATCAAAATGAAAAAAACAATTTTTTTCGACTTGTTTACAATTTTGCATTATTATTTGCTAAAAATAAAAACAAATTACAAAATTTGTTTTTTGATTATTTTTTTGAAAATTTGTAGAATCATTTGAGAAACAATAAACTGCTTAAAAAAAATCAAAAAAATGTTTTAGATTTTTTTAAATTTCTAAAATAATTCAAGAAACAATACTCATTAATTTTTGAAAAAAAATCAATTTTTTTTTGAATTTTTTTTCGATTTTTTTTTCAAATTTAACTGATGCATCTTGACGAAGATTAGACGAAGTTCAGAAACAATATCTACAATTGTTCTTTTAATTCTTTTGCAAAATGTTGATCAATCGGTCCGAAAAAACGATTTAATGGATCGATTTAAAAATTTACAGTGATATGGGGAGAACATTAAGCTGTAAAAACACCTAAAAAGATCAGTTTCCCCATCAATATTCGTGAATACGCGGTAGATTTACTAAAACAACGCAAAAAGTTACTTTTTTCTCTTTTCTTTAAAACAATGTTAAAGGTGAACAAAAATTATTTTCCAAAAAATTCATAAAAGGTTCTTATAAGACATTTATTCCAGT